AATACTAATACTAATACTAATACTAATACTACTACTACTACTACTACTACTACTACTACTACTACTACTACTACTAATAATAATAATAATAATAATAATAATAATAGTAGTAGTAGTAGTAGTTGTTGTTGTTGTTGTTGTTGTTTTATTATCATCACCACTAGGATAGGTATCTTAATACAGTATTTATCATTTCTGTACAATTCCTCTAAGACATTCACACACAAAAAAGAAAGAAAAAGGGAAAAAAATAAAGACAGCAAAAACATTGTGTTACCTTAAAGACTAACTAAGACTAACTGCTATATTCTAATGTGAGCTGTTGTAGAGAAGTCCACTTCCTTAGACTAGAAGATGGGAGATATAATTGTTTTAAAAAGAAAGGGGGAATACTGTGCTTCTCTACTGACGTTTCAAAAAGCCACGAAAAGGCCTGATACTGCTGCACAATGCCATCCCCATCTTGCTAGAAGGAAAAAAGTATGTCAGTTTTTACCTAGCCAAGGGCAGCCTGAATGTTGACAGCACCAATGGCCGCAGTCACTGGTCTACATGACACCACTACTGTTCACAAAGTGACACCAAACAAGAGAAAATTCCAGAAACTGACTTTTTAAAAAAAAATCAGTTAACTAAACAAGAGAAAATTCCAGAAACTGACTTTAAAAAAATCAGTTAACTACTTTTCATCCAAACACAAAGCAATTGTCAGGAACGTTTTCCAACAAGTGTGAATGGTAGTGTATAATCAGGCAGAAGTAACCTGAGCCTACTGTGAGGCAGTGCCCCATTCATTTTCATGGACCCTCAACCACTGCTACAGGAAATTTTGAGGGGCACCTCTTCGTTACAGTCCCGGAGATGAAATATGTACCTTGGCTTCAGTAGTCAGGGACAAATTAAACTTGACGTTAATTTTCGGGAATAGAATCAAAAAGGTTTAAACAGCGGAGGAGACTCCTAGGGTGGTGTAGAGCTGTTTCAGCGAGACTTCCAGTGTTGTCAATTTTTACAAACCCAAAAATAAAAATCTGTATTTTCGCCGCCTATGCCAAGTATTATTACTTGTTTTAGCTTGTTCTGTTCAGTGTTCTGTTTAATTGTATTGCACGTCTTCTGCCTGTTCTCGGACAGAAGAAAGCCATGTGAAAATAAACTGTAAACACTCTCGCTCTCTGCCACAGTCATCACACACACACACACAAGGAAAGAAGAAGCCTGTCGGAAGAAGCTCTTTGTATTTCAGAAGAAACTGCCGCTGCAAATAGCAACCACAACACAGCGCTGAACTGGAGCGCCGAGGGCCTCCACGCCGCCGCCGCCGACGTCACGCCTGCTTGGGCGGCGGGAGAAAGGGCATTCCCTCCTACGCCGTCCCTCGTCCCTCAGGCTCCGGACCTGAGGGAGCAAAGCCACCAAGTTCAAAGCTCGACTCTGCCCCTTCCTTCCTTCCCTTTTCACCTTGACTTTCCCCACAGAGTTGCCTTTCCTGCCGCCTTCCCCTCCCCCACCCCCCATCACCTTTCGC